TCACTTTAATAATTTCTGATTTTATTTAATAATCAAATATTCACTTAATTTGTCTAAATAAATTTTTGAGTATTTTAAGCATAAGACTTTTGTCAAATAAACTTTTATTAATAGAAAAAGTAAATAGTATTTGTGAACTTAATAGCATCTCGACATTCTCATTATCACTATTATTATATTCGCTAATAATAGTTAACTTAATTATGATCTAATCAACTTCTGTTAAAATAATACTATACATTATATCTTCACGTAAAGCCTTATTATATATATGTTTCTTTTTATTATACTAAGATAAAACTTGTAACTGAATTGCATTCTAACTAATTTTCTAGTTAATATTTTTCCTTTTAGTCTTAGTAATAATAATATTATATCTTTGATTTTGATAACCCAATCCACTGACCCTTTACCATAGCTTTTAAACAATTTATATTTTAAATACTTTTACTTCACCATCATAACAAGATGTAATATCATAAAGAATAGAAAAAATAAATTTGTGATTTATTACTTTATTTGCATTAATTACATAAATATAAGTCTTATACTCATAACTATATTATTTAAAACTTGCTCTAATATCTTTTTGTAATTGGAAGCATCAGTGAAACTTCTATCAAACTTAGGTAGATCAATATAACTATCAGCTATTAACCTAAACAATAATTTAATTTTAATAAATGTTTATGATGAAATAATTATTATACTATAAAAATATTAAGATTAAATCTATTAGAATCTGTTGCATAAATCTCATAAAAAATTACTACTATACCTATATATATTCATAATAATTGAAAGATTCATTTTGAATCCTTGAGTTTAGATTATATGTGCTAAATTTTTATCATTGACTAAAGGAATATACTTCTTTTTATTCTTACGAATTATGATAATATGCTTATCTTTAATTTTATCTAGAAAAGCAAAATAAGTTTGAAGTCTCATTTTTAAAGTTGATAAAATTATTTGCCTATAAGTTATAGTTTACAAGAATTTTCTCTAACTTATGCTTATATATTATGATGCAGTTAACTTTTTTCATTTTAATAGAATGTTATATAATGATATATATGTGTTCATCAGCTGGTTGAGAGGAAAAGTATTTGCTAATCTTTAAAAATAATTTTAATTCTATACCTTCAAGTTCATCCTTGATATTAACGTTAATTTTTTTTATTGATGAGCTTAAGTTTTTGTTTAATTCTTCAAAATGTTGAATTTTTATAGCTTAATATCATTTGTAATTACATTTTTAAACTTTGAATAAAACTTCTCCTTGATAGTATTCTTGAACTTATTAATAGACCTATTTTTCTTAATATCAACTTTAAAAGCATTTTTATAAGGGTTTTCTTCTATAGCTAAATGGCTAAGAGTAATAATAGATATAGTATTTTTATAGTGATATATGACTCAGATAAAAATAGTGTTACATTTTAGAATGAGATAAAAATTTATTCTAAAAAAAAATAAGCATTAATATAAATTTTTATATTGTATAAGCATTGCATTATTATACATAACCTATTTCTCATATATATTCGATAAAATAATAATTTTATTTATAAAATAAAAACGTTATCTAAAGTCAGTTTATAATATATAAAATAAAAATATTTCACTGTTACATATTGTAAATAAATAATTACTAATTATTTGAGATATATGAGAACATGAACTTATTTATTATCAAAGGATTCAGAAAAATAATTTCTAATTATAGTACTTAGTTTTATATGTTTTTTTTACATCTATAGCAAAATTATTTCTGTAGAAACTAAATTATTATAAGTAATATACTTACTAGTTACAAGCACATTTATAAGATCGTTGATAGTTTGTATTATTTGAGTATTAATATTGAATGAGAAATCATTATTACTATTATCATCTTTAAAGCGAAATTTAAGAATAATGATATTTACTATATCTTATATATATAGAAACATAGTTAGAAAAGTGCATGTAAAGCAAATTTCTTATCCTAAGTCATTTTTACCAAATATATTATACGTTTCTTATTTTTTTGCAAGAAAGTTAGCTAAACTTTCACATATTTCTATATACTTTATATCTTGCTAAGAAAAAGTTAAGGAGATATAAAGTGTAATTAGTATTGTTATATAATACCAAAAGTTCTATAAAAGCATATACAAATGAAATCTTAATACTTTTCATATAAAGATCTACTCTGCAAGATATATAGTTAGTTTTACGCCTAATGATCTTAAAATTTTAAAATTCTTAACTTTTTATAACATATGCTTTTGTTATCACTATTTACTTTAGAGTATATCCTGTATTATATGTAAACACTTTTCATATTTTCTTACATTTGTTTAGAAAAAAATAAAGAATAAAGGTTAATATGTTTTTTTTTAAAATATATATGCAAAAATTAATATATTACACAAGATTTGACTGATGATCTACTTATTTTTTGTCATATAATCTATGGTTAGCAAAAAATCTTCTGAGCTGAAGATTATTATTCTAGAATGATAATCAATATTTTAGATTCAAAATTTTTTGTATTAAATATATTTTGACTTTATTGAATATTACTGCTTTTTAATTAAAAATTTACAAGATAAAAAAAGGTAAATTATTTTTATAAAAAAAAAACTAAAAATGTAAAAAAAAAATGAAATTTTAATAAGATATAAAATTAAAATTATATAAAAAAAGAAAATAAGAAATTATAATTTTGCATTTTATGAAACTTAAATAACTTAATAATAAATAGATAATAAAAGTAGAAAAATACATTTCTTTTTTAATATGTTATACTATCTTGATAATTAATATAATATTTAAAAGATTACAAAGTATTATTAATAAAAGGATCACAAAATTAAATTCAAACAAGATAAATATTTAATATTGTAAGACAAAAAATACTTAAAATTTAAGATGCAAAAGGTAAACTAAAACTTAGTATCCAAATGGCCACAGAGATTAATACTTTCAAAACAAAATCTGACTCATAAATAAAGTAAGGACAGAAAGAAAACAGAAATAGGTAAAATTAAATAACAAGTGGTAATTAGATTATAAAGTAGTAATAAAATCATATTAATATAAAAATATGAATGTAGAAAAACCTAAAGAAATAATCAGAGTATAAAGAAACACTAGTAAAAATATAATACTGGTATATAAAGAGAAGCGGTAAGTTTTGATATTAGATCATAAAATGATAATAAAGTGATATTCTGCAATTTCATAATTACTTAGGTTATAGCATAATAGTTTATAACTTTATAATTTACTAAGTTATAGTATAATCTATGATTTTATAATCTACCTAAGTTATAGTGATAATTAGGTTATAGAGTGATATTATAACCTAATCTAAGTGGTATGTATACAAATGCAAAAATAATATTTTTTTACTATTTAGTATATATATGATATATTATTCTAAATCTGTTTAGTATAAAAATATTAATTTTTTAATTAAAATTGATATAAATATAAATAAAAGATATATAATATTATTTATTTTGCAAACTTTTCATTTCGTTTTTAAATTTATTAAATATGAAATCATTTCAATAACTGCTATATAAACTTTGATTCATATTAAAATAATAATCTATCTATTTTTTATTTATTTTTTGTTTAAGTTTTTGACAAGATTTGGTCAAAAACAAATTCAGACACGCGTGCATTGAATGCATAATGTATTCTTTAGTGTTATGCAAATCTTATTAAATTATTTCAGATTGATGAAGTTTTTCAATCGATTTTATAAAAGTAAAGTATTTAAATGTAAGTTTTCAGTATTGTTTATTGTTTAAGTAAAATTTCCAAACTTTTCGTCCCAGTAAAACGTTAGGGGTCACACGTGTGTGTTAAAAAAAATAACCTGATTTTATCCATTAATTAAATAATAAGCCTTTCATATGATAATGTTTGACTGCGGCATACCAAATATCGTAACTTTAACAAATCGAATATGAAAAATTTGGAAAACCCATTAATTAAATTATGAAGAAAGAATTTTTTTGTTATACATGTGAAATTGCGAGAAAATGTGAAAGTATGTGTAAGTAAAATCATGTGCACATTCGAGATTAGATAAAAAAGGTTCGAACCTATATAAGTTAATGAAATGAGTAATGACTGTTAAATGCCGATTTGTTCGAACAATGATCTTATTTGAATGATGATTCCCTTAATCAAGAGGATAGACGTGATGATATGCTGTGCTCATCTTAAATTTATGTGGAGTGATACTTAAAACGTTGTTGGTAATAAAACATTTGTTTTCTTTTTCTTTATCATTTTCATAAAAAAAAAAAATCATAAAGACCGAAGAAACTTTCGTTATTTAGTTAACTTCGTTATACACTTAAAATTTTACTTGTGTAATGTATCATATTAATTAAGCATTATTATTGGCGTTTTGTAAATAAATTTGGCCAATCCTCCAATCTTCTTTACCCTTAAGATAATTTTATTGTTACCATAATTGTGTACGGTGTACAATTGCTTTTCATTATAAGCGACCCAAAGTTGATAGTCCATTATATATTTGGTCTATATATTTGTTACACACCTCAACAAATTTCGTTTCAACTGATCTCGCGGATTTTCATAATACATCCAACGTATATAAACTCGAACCAATTTCATAATTTCAAAAAAACAAAAAAAAAAAAAAAGAAAAAAAAAAAAAAAAAAAAAAAAAACTATTTTATTTTTTTTTTGTTTTTACCACATTTTTTTCTATCGGACTTGGGATTCATCTTGAACCGAAAGTAAATAAAAGAAATAATATATATATATATCCTTAGAATAAATAGAGTAGTATAAAAAAAAAAAGAATTTTTGATAAACAGTTTTAGTTTTTTTAGTACATATATAGTAAATATATTCCATTTTGTATAAATTAGATAATCCGAAGTTTTTTTATTTCTTATTAAAAAAAAAAAAATCCCATTTAAATTAAATATCTCTCGCACACTGAAAACAAATACATATTAAAGATGGATTTTCCCGATCATGTATTATTTAATGTAAACGTTGCTGTAGTAGCAATGGTATTTAGGAAAAAATATGGACAAGAATTCGAAAGAGCTGATAGCACAACTGATATTAGCAGCGCAAGTAATGTAAGCTATACAAGTAATTCAAGTACAAGATGTAAGTAATCGATTCATACAATTCAACTATAAATTCCAATTTACATCTAATCATCTGTCTTTATCTAATTAGCGATAGTTACATCGGATGAAATGTGGACAGCGTCGGAAAAGCTTTACAATACTCTGATCCAGTGTTTAGAAACAGAAGATTCCGTATTAAATTTTATAAATTGGTTTTTAGACGGTGTACGAAAAACGTTCGAATCCGAAAACTCTTTCGCATTTCTAAAACAACAAATACTAGTATTTCCCGACACTTGTTTCCTATGTAAAAAGCCATATACGACACCACAAGATAAATGGTGTAATGAATGTGAGTCACACGTATTTGAATCAAAATTTCATACATGGACAAGTGGAAATTTAGATCTTGATAGATTCATTCGAGAAACTCAACGAGAAGCGAAAAATTCTACAGAATTTTTAAGATGGATACCATTTTCATCATTTACCGAATTGAATCAAATTGGTAAAGGCGGATTCAGTGAGGTATATTCTGGAAATTATACACAAGATCGATTGAATGGGACATTAAAACAATGGGTGACTAATATGGAATGTATGATTATATTGGATTATTTACAATGCCATAGTGAAGAAAGTATTAAAGATATATCCTTAGAAAAATGGGATGAAATTTTGAAAGAGTTTGCCTCAAGAATGCGACGAATTTATGAGAATAGAAAAGTGTTAAAGTGTAGATCATTAGGTCAGTCTAAGGAACATTCGGAAGTTCAAGTAAGTCTTTACGAATAAATCTATTATTTACTGCTGGATTGTAAGATTAACAAATACAACTTTTTTTTGTAGGTTAAGAGAAAGAGTAGTATTAGTAGTATTACAAGAATCAAGAACCTATTAAAGAAACGACCAAGTTTAAAGAAAAATAAAACTGTAAGAAATCATCAATATTTAAATTGGTTAAACATATTTATAATTATTAAATTAACAATTTTCGACTTTTTGTTTTTATTGAATTCAATTTTTAGAGATCATCGAAGTTAAATCCATCGACAACAACGAATCCTTTAATTAGAATTAATCAAATTCCCGTAACTGTTTCTCCATTACAAAATAAATTCATTCAAAAGACAGTTGCACTAAAACGTCTTGTGGATTCACAGGATCTAAGTTTAAATTTCATCAATAAGGTAACTATCCCCTTATTAAAAAGAATTTATCAATTCATGTTTCAAATTCGCTTCAATTTTTTTTTCTCTTGAAATTAAAACTCAGATGAAGACACAATATCTTGCTTCAAAAAAATCCTCGAAATTTTCAAGGATGTATGGTCTAACGCAAGATCCACAAACGAAAGATTATTTCATAGTGTTACAATACGCAAATGATCATGACTTACATAAGTATCTGAATCAAAACAGTGTTAACATAGACTGGTACCAACGTATAAGTTTATTACATGGAATCGTAAGAGGGATTTTTGAATTACATAAAGCGAACTTAATACATCATAATTTACATACCGGTAATATATTACTTAGACATAATACGAGAAAAGAAAAAACCGGGAGATTTAGTACTTCAACTGTGAGAACATGGATCTCTGATAGTGGATTATGGGGACCAGCTGGATCATCTTCAAGTGGGATTAATACAAGCGGAGCAACTTATATGGGTGAAAATAGTAATCTTAATAGTACAATTATGGGTTCATCTAAAGAACCGAAAATATCACCAGCTCAATCAATGATTAATTTGCAAAAGGGAAAATTATATGGAATATTACCTTACATTGCTCCTGAAGTCTTACAAGGTAAACAATATACACAGAGTTCAGATATTTATAGTTTAGGTATTATTATGTGGGAACTATCAAATAATGCTACTTTAGGAAAGCATAATCTCCATAGTCAACCTTTTCATGATCAACCGCATGATATTAATTTGGCAACGGAAATTGTGAATGGAAAAAGACCCAATATAGATGATGTTGCCTCTGGTAACATTCCGGAATGTTGGTTGAATTTGATGAAGAAATGTTGGGCATCAAAACCAGAAGACCGACCGAATATTGAAGACATTAAGAAAATTACCAGTGCATGGAATATGGAAAGATCGAAAAATTCTTTGGTCTTTTCATTTGGTAGATCTGGAGATGATGATGATGTTGTTGGACAGTTTTTAGATGCTGAGAAGAGAAGAGTCGAAAGGTTGAATAAAGGTAAGCAAGTGGAGAGTTACAATAAACTAGAAGAAGAAGAAGAAAGTGGAAATGAGTTAAAAGAAACTGTAACCGAGAGGCTTAACCAAGATGATTATAATTATGACTCAATGAAGAGTCGATTATTGGATTTTTTGGTTGAAGCACCTTCACCAAATAATCATAAAGATTTAGAAATAATTTATGAGAATATCGATTCTACGAAAAAAGAAAAGGTTGATAGTGGATATCAGCAACCAATAATGGAAGAGCACGAAGATGAAGTTAAACATGAAGTCGAACCCGAAAATCCCATAGAAAAAGATAGGGATTCAAATAAAAATTTTCAAGGTAATCGATTATATATACTTAAATTATTAGTATAAATTAAGATGTTGGCGGATACTAATTTTTTTTAATTTTTATTATTAGAAAAACCATATGTTAATGAACAGAAACAAATTTTACTAGGTAATACAACCTATGATTTTTGGCTATTTAATGTAATTGTCCTAATTGGAGTATTAATTTTTTATTTTTATTCTTAATTAGGAGTTAAACAAGATAACCAAGATAGTCCTATTAAAAATGGTATAGAAGCGAATTCTGAAATTGGATCAAAAGGTAAATAAGTTAACGCTTTATTTATCCTTCCAATAGAATTTTTTTTATTAAATGTTTCATAAACTTTATTAGAAATCAGTTTAACTAAAGAAAAAGAACCGTAAATATGCAATTGATATTAATAGTTTTACCCTTATTCCTTTACCATTCATTATTTACATTATTTATTAAATTTATTATTATCTATTTATTCTTATGTATATGTATTTGATATATTTATTGGTTTTAAGAGGACTATTTTTTTAGTATATAAATACTATGTATTATTATTACTAAACAAATGTTTGTTTTATGGTAAATTTGTGTATTTTTATAATTAAATTTCTTTTTTTTTTATAGAAGTTTGTATTTGTAAAATTAAATATATTAAAAATAACAAAAATAACAAAAAATATTAAAAAATTAAAAATAGTTTTTTTTTTGATAAAATTAAGTTTTATATTTTAGAATTAGAATAAAATAGAAATCTAATTTATAAAATTATAATTAAATAATTTTATATATAAATTAAATATTAGTTTTATTTCAAAAAAAAAAAAATAAAAAAATAAAAAAAAATAAATCTTAATTATTATATTAATATATATAAACAATTTTACTTTATTTTATTATAATATGAAAAAGTTACTTATCTAAACCTATTTTGAATTTGAAAATATAAACCACTTGAAGGAAATAATATTATTCAAGAGGCATTTTTTTGTAATTTTTAAAGTTATAACATTTTGATGTTAATATGAATAGTAGACAAAGCAGAAGGCTGTTTGGTTACATAGTTAGTCTTGGATTTACTAACGGGTATACATGCGTTTGTAGCGGTAATAATTGAGTCTTGAAATAAATTCTAAGGAACTTTAAGTTCATCGATTATAAGTTTATGAAAAAATGGGTCTCATAATTCTCATAATTCATTATAAAATATGTCTACGTCATCCACGTTTATAGAAATATTGCTCATGTTAAAAATAAATACAACCAATCAGTGAACTAGTCGTATCTGAC